CTCTGTGTAGCTTTGGTGCCTGTCCTGGATCTCGCTCTGTAGACCAGGCTGGTCTCAAACTCACAGAGATCCGCCTGGCTCTGCCTCCCGAGTGCTGGGACTAAAGGCGTGCACCACCGCCGCCACCACCACCCAGACTAAGATTTTTTAAAATTATAATTAGTTTTTGTGTCATATGTGTGCACGTGTGCATACAGAGATCAGAAGACAACTTGTGGGAGTCTGGTCTCTTCCTCCACCCTATAGGTCCCAGGGATCGAACCTGGGTTGTTAGACTTGGAAACAAGCCTCTTACTGGCTGAGTCATCTCACCAGCCACCTTTTTTATTTTTAAAATTAATTAATGTGTATGTGTGCGTGCCTGTGTGTATACGTGTATGTGTGTGTGTGTGCCTCACTTTCCCAGAACACTCAGATGAAACCCATATTTGTACTGAAATAACAGCATAGTTGAGAAAAGTCCCCTGAGGCAGGGGAGCAGGCTGGAGAGTCGGATCTAGAAGGCTTTACACAAAGGTCACCAAGTTAGCACATAAGAGAAACCAGCTGGCAAAGGTCAATGTGGAAACCCCGGAAGAAGGCCAGCTAGAACCAACTGGGGGCCACTGCAGGAGTGTCTGAGGGTGACCTGTGGCTCATTCTAACACTAAATCACACACTCATGGGTGGCCAGAATCCTGAGTCTCTCAGCTGACAGGATTCAAGAAGGTAGACATCACATACTGTCATGGACTTAGAGAAAGATGGAGGTCCTTGTAACAAGTCCCCAGTCAACAGTCATCAAGTGTCGACAGTCAACCAACTCCTGTACCTCATCTCAGACAAGAGCTTGCCACATACCTGAGAGGCAGGAAGGGAAGTGTGAAGTGGTTATGGAGATCAACAAGGAGCAGTCAGCTCTGCTGGGCATCAGAGAGAAGCATGTGTTTTTGCCCGCATTTACTCCGATCCAAGTACCAACAAGGCACAGAGATAACAAGGCATAACTCACCACGCCCTAGCTCACCCTAGACCCTCACCACCTGGTATTAGACTCATAACCATGATGGACGATGGCAAGTTATATGCAATAACATGTTTGATGCAGAGGAGAGTATGTGTATCCTCTCTTTTCCCTTCAGAGAAGAGTAAAGGGCCCGTGGTGCAGTGTAAAGAAGGCTGCCCTTCAGTTCCTTCCCGTAGAAACGAGGCTATGGAATGCAGCCTCTGTGCGTGTGGCTCTCACAGGGAACGTGGTCTATCACCACATTCTCTCTTAGCAAACAGGACAAAAGCGAAGCCACACCAGTGGTGGTAGGTGGGACGAGGTGGGGGGGGCACAGGTGATGGTGTCCTGGGTGGCAGTGAGCTCAGTGGGTAGCCACCAGGAGGTCATGCAGACCATGAGGGGAATGGGAGTGGCCATGACATTCCCTGCTTTGTTTGGACCCATGTGGCTGGAGCAAGGGAGCTTTCTTCTCCTTCCAAAAGCCCTCATGAAGGCTGATGCCTCCCCCTACCCTACCACTGGCCTTTTAAGATTCCAAACACTGAGCCCTGTTTCCCCACCCACATGCCAGAGGCCCTCTCAGCAGGAAGGCACTGGAGCTGCAGACAAGGGGGTGTTAAGAGTCTGTCTGGCTGTGTGGGGTAAACAAAGGACAAACTGGAAGATTAAAAAACGAGGAAATATCTGCTGTTGGCAAGTATACAGGAAAATGCACACTTTGCTAAACCTGCCATGGGAGGGTGGATCCAGGGAACAGTTCAGAATGGCAGTTTACAACGTGAACTACATCGTTCCATGACTCCATTCCTAGGGTTTCATTCTGAGGACACAATGAAGGATTTGTGCAACCGTGCGACTCTCGGGTCGTTCACCTCGGCATTGTTATGAGATATATACAACCAGGGACAGCCTGGATTCTAGGGCAGGGGGCTGTAGGCGACGCAATAGGCACTGTCATTATGATGTGGCAGAAAATGGGCTCCTAACCACACAGGGAGAGGCTCACAGTGTTGCTGTCAGGGAACAGCAGGCTGCCGCACAGCACAAGGCTGTCTGACATGCGCAGACACGTAAGACGAGCATAGTGTGCGCTGTGTTTCCTTCAATCTTCAGACACCCCTCCAAGTAAAGCACCATTAAGTTTAAAGTGACGGCGCTGATCCTTAATCAGAGAAAGGTATACTAAACACACAGTTTCCCTGAGTTTCTAGACTGCTTACACACTCTAAATTGTATTTATTATACATGTATTTTTGGAGATCGAGAGCTGAACCCACAGGGGCGGAGGAGACGGCTGAGTTGGTAAAGTGCCTCTTGGGCAAGCATGAAGGTCTGAGTTCTGATACTCAGAACCCATGTAAAAAAGCCAGGCATGGTGGCACTGGTTTATAATCCCGGTGCTGGGTAGGAGAGACAGGCAGGCTCCCACTGCTCACTGGCCAGCCATCTTAGCCTAATCTGTGAGCTCCAGGCCAATGAGAAGCTGTGTCTCAAAAACAAGGGTACAACTGGTGAGACGACTCAGGGGTCAAAGGTGCCTGCCGCCAAGCCTGGCAGAGTCCCATCCCTGTAACATACAAGGCAGAAGGAGAGAACTGACTCCTGAAAGTCTTCCTTCTAACTCGCACATGTGGGCCATGGCATACATGTACACACTTGCCTGTGAGTGTGTGAGTGTGTACACAGGAACGGAACCCATGGCTTTCAATTGAGAAGTACTTCACCTGAACGTATACTCAGTATTTGTCTGGATAATTTAACTAACAAATTATAATTTGTTATAATTTGAATAAGCTGATTCTGTGAGAAAGCCTTACTTATACCAATGCACGCAGAGAAACAGGTCAAGATGGAGGCAGCGCCATGCTCAGCATACTTAGTTCCAAGATGTAACCTCTGGTTACCATATAACATTTTTTCTTTATTAATGTTATCACGTTTGATTAATGTATATGTACTGTTTTCTAATCCCAAAGAAATCGAGTATTTGGATTTAAAGCATCCACTCATAGTACTCTCAGAGATTGTTCCTGTAATAGGCATTAAAAACTGCTTTGCCAAAGAGCACTGGTTATTCATTTGCGCCCATGAGGTAACTCAAAGCAGGACAAAAGCCTGATGTCTCTGCCTTCGTGGTGTGCTTCCTTACCTCTGGTCAGGCTCTGCTTGCCTCTTAATGAGTGTCCACCTAGAAATCCACAGTACCTAAGCTCTCTCTTCCCCCTTCCAGGCCAAGTCACGGATAACACGGTCTCTAGCCGTAGTGACCTTGGGCTCTAGGAAAAGCACAGCTTGCAGACCCTATCACCCATAGTGAGATCACTTCCTGAGCAGGGGCGAACAACCATCGTACGGGGACCAGACTGGTCTCCTGAAGCAATGATATCAGTAACCATTCGGGATGGGTTTGATTTTCGGATAGATAAAATGAGGTGATTGAGGCCCCTTCTCTCTCTCTCTAGTGGTCCAAGAGGAAGCCAGATTCCATCCTCTGCCTGAAGGGGGCGCTGACCCCCTCTGTACCTGCACTTTGAGGAAAAACCTCTTCCTAGGTTCCCCATCCCCGGGGAAGCCTGTGACCTGGTGTCCTGGGTGGAAATCTGGAGGCACCTGTGGTCCCCAGACTCACCTTCCACAGCAGCACAGCCAGCAGCAGGAAGATGAGGATTCCCACCAGCAAACTGATGGCGATGATCCATCCCACAACGTAGCCTCGGGGCTCCAGATTGTGCAAGGCCTCAAAGACCACCTAGAAGGCAACACAAAAGCGAAACCGTAAGACCAAGGTTCAAGTCTTGGAAGGGCTAGAAAGATAGCGACCCTGATTTCAAATATCACAAACTGAACAGAAGCATAGTGGAAAACGTCAGCCCATGTTACGTCCCAAAACTAGATGATGATCTTCTACCTTGCATTCTGGTTCTGAAATAAAGGACACGGGGGTGTTTCTCAAGCAGTGAATACTTCTGAATGTTAATGGGCCACTTAGTATGGGGTCATTTGCTCAAGACTATTTTTCCCAATAGACTGTGGACCACTCAAGGGCTAAGCCACTGTCTTGGGTCTCACAGCTGTGCCTAACCTGTTAAAAGAATTCATTCAAGATGTGCTGTCCTGCCGGGCGGTGGTGGTGCACGCCTTTAATCCCAGCACTCGGGAGGCAGAACCAGGTGGATCCCCGTGAGTTTGAGGCCAGCCTGGACTACACGGAGAGACCCTGTCTTGAAAAAACCAAATGTGCTGTCCTTTCTAATCTGAGCCATATGAGGCTGGAGGCCTATCTCACCGAAGCACACTTGTTTATTTTTATTTATAGGTATGTGTGTATCTGTTCATATACCATATGCATACAGGTGTTCCCAGCTAGAAGATGGGGTCAGATCCCCTGGAGCTGGAGTTGTACGAGGTTGTGAGCTGCCTCATGTGGGTGCTGGGTATTTAACTTGGGCTCTCTTTAAGAACAGCAAGTGCTCTTAACTGCGGAGCCACCTCTCCAGCCCTGAGGCACACTCCTCAACTTCCAAGGAGACTCATGGGTGTCCTACAGCTGGCCTATGTCAGCTCTCAAGAGCCAAGTCTGCATCTCCTCACAACTCAAGTGACTTTGTGATGTCAGTTGCCACAGACTGCATTGGGAATGTCACACCATAGAAAGGCAAGCCAGACAGGGACCCTCTACGCTCCTGAAGGAGAGTTGAGTGTTTCCCATGCAGTAGCTCATGATGACCACACTCTCTGGCTCACTTCTAGTCACCACGGGTCAGAAGGAGTGTGGTTTTACAGAATTCAGGTGTCACTTGCTCCCTCTTCTTCCAAAGGGAAAGCCAATCTGATCATCTTTAGCTCCTTCTGTAGTGAAGGGTGGCTGAGTGATATGTGCCAGAGTAGGGGTGGGTGTGGACAGTTACCCATGAGACAGTCAGGCTCTTTGGTTTCCCATGTAGAACCAGAATCCAGAACTTGTCTTAAGGGAAACTCAATGGAGCAGAAATGCTCCTTCCGATGTGGGGACAAGCTAGAGAAAACTGCCTAGAAAATCCAGCAGGCATGTTGGGGGATGGGTGGTGTAAGCAGCCAGGAGACCTTAGGCAAAACGCTTGACTTCTCTGAGCTTCGTTTTTTGCACCTGCGAATCAAGAGCACTTCAATCTCTCCCTGGAGGTTCAGGCAGAAGTCAGCCAAACCTCCTGCTCTGCCAGGATCCTGAGCCAGGCTGTGAACTCAGTGGGGGTTAGTTGTAAGGTCCAGGACGCTGAGCTGTGTCCTCTTGGCAAAGCCTCGTTGGAGGTCTGGTTTTGTGGATACAGAGATGTGAGTAGCCACTACAATTTAGTCTGGCGAATTTTGTAAGAACGCCCCGTCACATCCCGGGAATGTGTGCTTTGTGTCTTGTCTTTTTTTCTCAGTGATGTTCTTGGTCCGCTTGGATGTGAGCTCCAGGCCTTGGCAGACCATTTCTTCTATCCTGACTGTAATAAAGTCTGTGAGTGATCTGAGCGCCTTGCAGTGTGCTAAGAAGCCACATCATAGACTAAAAACAAATGAAAGAATGAATGAACAGAAAAGGGAAGGGAAATCACACAGATCTCATAATGTGGAGACTTACTAACCACCAGCCCACAACTCCACCGCTCAGGAGCCAGCAGGCAGCCCAGACCAAGCCTTCACACCTCTCTGAATATCTCTCCTCTCCCTGCCTATCACTGCCCCAGGTCAGGCCCAGCCTTCACTGACACTGTGTCAGACCCCTCTGGAGCCCCCAGCCACCCAATTTGTCCTCTAAGAAGGTAGGTCCTGACATGTCACCTCAGTCATCTCTATTGATGGCTTCTCTTCACTCTGAGCATCTAATTCAGGACACAGAGTAACAGTCTGGTTTCCTTCCTTCCCAGCCCCTCCCAGGTCACGGATTCACATCCCAGCTAGTTAGCCTCGTCCCCTCTGAGGTCCCTGACCCCTTGTTTTGACTCCCTGGAATGCCCTCCCTTCCTGGTTGTGTGACAGGCTCCATAATTGCTTGTCTTAAATATGCTCACACCATCTGACCTGTCAATTCTGTACTTGAAATCATGATCAAAGGCAGGAAATACAAACTACAGAAAAAATTTTATGCTCAGAGATGCTGGGCTGTGTGGCGGGTAAAGGTATTTGCTGCCAGACATGACAGCCTCAGTTCAGTCCCTGGGGTTCACATGGTGGAAGGAGGAAACAGATTCCCAAAAGCTGTCCTCTGACTTCCACACGAGTCATGTGTGTGCCCCACACAGACACACGCACACAAACATACAAGATAAATAAAATGCAATTAAGAAAATTAAGAGATCTGGAAGATGCTCACTGCAGTATTGTTCACACAGATACAGAATCAGAACTATCCTAAGGAGAGGGCCACAGGTTATCTAAATAGTGGTTAACCACAAAACAGAGCACAAGCTATTGAAAATGAAAACTGCTCTATAAATTATATCTGTCTCTGTGGATGTGTATCTATGTGTAGTGTGTGCGCATGTGCACAGGCATGTATTTATGTTTTTGAGAGAGGGTCTTACTCCATAGCCCAGGCTGGCCTGAAACTTACCATGCAGCTTAGCCTGGCTTTGAATTCATAGCAATCCACCTGTGTCAGTCTCCTACATGCTGGGATTACAGATGTAAACTACCACAGCTGGGTTGATGCACAACTTAAACATTTTATAAATTTATTTTTTAGCATATGGGTGTCTTGCCTGCATGTATGTGTGGCACCATTTAAATGCTGGATGTCCTTGCAGACCAGAGAGGGCGTCAGATTCCTTGGAACTGGAGTTTCAGATGGTTGTGAGCTGCCATGTGGGTGCTGGGAATGAGAAGCCAGTTCCCTTCAAAGAGAAGCCAGTGTTCTTAACCACTGAGCCATCTCTCTGTACTGATGCATACTATTTTAACAAATTAAAGACATGACTCTTGAACAAATATATAGTGAATATAAGTGAAGAGACCACTACTTAGGGAGTCGGCAGGAGGGTAAAGAGGGATCAACAAAAGATGTCACGGGATGGGAAAGTGTGCTGAAATCAGATGAATAATCAGACTCAAAGCTGGCCAGGACTCCATAGGAAGATGTGCTTTGGGGTTAGATTTTTGGTCAGACAGAAACCGCTTTCTTCCTCACTGACACACCCATAACTCACAGAGCAGCCTCCCAGATTTTATTCCTGAAGGACAAGACTTTTTAAGGGAACGGGTCTGTCACTACACAGAAGCCCTCAGAGGGTTAAGACTGTCCCCATCTCCGGCTGGGGATTGAACAGAGGGTACTGAACATTCTAGGCAAGTGCTCTACCACAGAGTTTTATCCTTCACTCTTAATTATCCTCCTGACAACGTATCTGTGGCTTGGCTAGAGACAGGGCCACAGGGGAAGAGTTCTACAATTCACTGACCACCAAATCTGAATGTGGTGTGCTCCCGAGGCCACCACAGGCACAGGTTGCTTCTAAGGGAGAGGGTCAGCTATAAATTACCCTGACTGATTTTTGCTTGCTGCTTAGAAAGTCCAATTCATCTGCAACAGTGCATGCACATGTGTGTGCACATGTGTGTCTGTCCAGATGGGGCTCTGGAAATCTTGAGGGATATGATTAATGGCCAGTGGAAGAGTGTGGTGGACTGGACATCTTGCTCCTTTAAAATATTATCCTCCTTGCCGGGTGGCGGTGGCACACACCTTTAATCCCAGCAGTCGGGAGGCAGAGCCAGGCGGATCTCTGTGAGTTTGAGGCCAACCTGGTCTACAGAGTGAGATCCAGGACAGGCACCAAAACTACACAGAGAAACCCTGTCTCGAAAAACAGAAAAACAAACAAAAAAATTATCCTCCATGGCTGTGGCTTCCTCAGGGACCAAGGACTCTGGGGGAGTCCCAGATATCCCGTTCCTGATTCAACCACAGTCCATTTCTATGTGGAAATGGAATCTGTCCTTTAAAGGGCCATGCTGATAACTGTGATGGTGGCTGGAGGCCACTGATTCAGAGTGGGGGTGGGGCTCCCTGTTTGTCTGCCTCACTCTTGCTTGGCCATCTCTTACATGATGGTGGCTGCTACTAACTACTGCCCGTGTGGATGCAGCACGCAAAGGGCTTTGTAACAAGGTAGCATTTGACTCATCTCAGTTGCTCAGGACCGACATGCCACACACTCCCTGTCCTTAAAAGGCACCGTTCATGTCAGTCTCCTCTACCAGAGTTACCAGTACTGGGTGAGAGTGGTGATCCTCTAACCAGTTCCTTGTTCTCACTCTTGTACATCAGGGCTGGTGAGCTTGCAGCCCAACCCGATGACCTGAACTGTGTCCCTGGGACTCACATGGTGGAAGGAGAGAGTCAACTCCCACATGTTGTCCCCTGACCTCCACAGGTGCACCATGGCATATGTGTGCCTGTACATATACATGCACACACAATAGATAAATAAATGCAATACAAATTCAGAGCGGCACGAAGAGATTGCCCAGTAGATTAAGAGCACCTGTCATTCTTCCTGAGGACCCAGGTTCAGTTCCCAGCGCCCACATGGCAACTTTCACACAACTGTATGGAACTTCAGTTCCGGAGGATCCAGCACTCTCTTCTGGCTACTCCATGGGTACCAGGCATGTGGTACACAAAAATAAAAGCAAGTAGTGCACATAAATATTTGTAGGCAAAACATGTATATACATTGTCTTAGGGCTTCTAGTGCTGTGAAGAGACACCATGACCACGGCAAC